GTAGCTCTTGTGTTCCAGGCCTCCACTAAAATGGGTCCCTGAAAGGCCGGTGGCTGGTCCTGTTCCCGAGGCCTGGCACCAAGGCAATTCCCAAGCAATAGCTAATCATAATAGGGCCAGGTGCTGTCTCAGGTGAGATGCATTGTTCATTTGGTCCTCATGATAACCTCTGATGTGGTGCAGGTGACGAGACCAAGGAGCAGAGGGCTTTAAATTTGCCCGTGGTCAAGGGGCAGAACTTCATTCTTGACCCTGGCCCTGAGTCACCCCAGCCCCTGGCTGTGGGGTTCTGGCCCCTCTTGAGACCTAAGAGCTTTGGCTAACTCAGGTTCTCAGGGGGCTGAGCCTCACTTGTCTGTGACACAGGATAAACCCAAGAGCGTGAGCGCGAAACTTCCGTACAGCACAGTTAGAGAGGGTGAGGAGGGACGTGGGCCAGGGTCCGGAGGGACTGATGGCTAGGGTCCTGCAGCATCTTGTCCTAATAGCACAGGGATGGGGGTCATGATGGGATTGGCAGCTGCAGCCAACCAGCCTGCGTTCCCAGCCGGGGTCGGCTGCTCCATCAGTGTGATGTTAGTCATATGTCTTATTAACGGTACCTCAGTTTCCCTCTGTGAAAAAGGAGAATAATGTGCCATGCCTACGGCAGGGTGGTTGTAGCAAAGCTAGATTCACTCCCTGTGAGGTATTCAGAAACCTCTCTGGCCCCCAGCACATCACAGCTCCTGAGGTCCTCGGGGTTGGGTGCTGGCCCCGAGTGGGGCATCCGGAGCCTGGAGGTGCCCCGAGCCCACCGGCCCAGTGTCCGCTCATCCCCGGCCTTCTGTCTTCTGTCTTCCAGGTTGATCCTCGGGACCCACAGTCTCATCGTGTCTCCCACAGAGGCCCACAGAGGTGGTGGCTTGGTCGGTTGGTGATCTCCCGACAGCTGGATCTCCGGCAATGTGAAGCTTTTGTTTGGGTTTCCCCCCCTCCTTTTAGTTTTGCTTAATTTTTTTTAAATCTTATTTTATTTTTTGTCCTTTTTTTTCCTTCCTTTTTTAATTTAAATGATTAAGACTTCAGAAGAGCAGGAAACTGTGCTGTGGAGAAACAACATGGACAAAAGCATATGTATAAATGTCATTCTTAATTTTTGTAAGGGGTTAGGGAGCTATTTTGTTTTGTTCCTTTATTTTCCCTCTGTCTTCTTTGATTTACCCATCCTTCAGTTCTGCTTAGAGCACCTCACTTTCCCAGAGAAGGCCTGCCTCTCTGCGGAGAGCCAGGGTGGGTCCCGGCCCTGGGGGGCGTGAAGACAGAAGGCAGCCTGTGGGCCACCTCCCCCGCAGACACAGGCGCTGCCAGACTCCGGCGGGCCGCCCTCAGCCCTAGAAATGGTCAGAGGCGAAGAAGGACCTGGAAGAGGAAGACAGGGTTTGGCCCAGAGAACTCAAGAAAGTCTCAACTGCGGGTTTGTTCTCTCTCAGCTGCCGGAAGCCCTGGGCCACTCCAGGACTCGCAGTGGTGGGAGGCCATTCCCTCTTCTGCCCTTTAGAACCCAGAGCGCTGGGGAGCAGGGGGGGGACAGAGGTGACTATCCCCCACTTCCCAGCGGTCGAGCGCCAGCCCAGCCCAGCTCTACAAGCCTACCTTTCTGTTAGTGGTCTCCCTCCCAGAGGAAGACCCCCTCCCCCCAGGAAAAACAACTGTTGTGCCAAACCTCTGCCTGGGACACAGCCGGGTCTTCGGCAGGCATCTGTCACTCCTTTGAGGTTAGCGCCCATCACCTCCTGCTTCCTGGATCATCTCCTTCCCACGTGTGCCCTCCACGCATCCCGGTTGTCAGAGACTGCCTGAGTCCCTGCGATCTGGCTGTGACCTGGCCCTAAGAACAGGGTGTCCTGAAACTGGCTGCCATTGTCACCTCCTCGCAGTGAAGGGCATGCCATGCACGTGGGCCCGTGGTGTCCCAGTCGGCGGCAGCGTCAAGCGCCGTCTCCCTCACCCCCAGGAACTTACTGTTAGGTGCCCTCCCTCCGCGTACACGTGTCCGGTGGGAAAAGATTGGACCCACCAAGAGCAGGGAGGGGACGGGCTAGATCCCCCCCCCCCCCCGCGCCCCTGCAGCTGTCAGGTGCCCATGGCGTAAAGTTTGCCCCGCGTGACCCTGTTGACCTCAGCACCAGCGTCTGTGCGGGCCATGGTCTGTGTGGCCATCCCACGCTCTCTGCCAGCACGTGGGCAGCTCCCTCGCCTCGGGCTTGTGAACCTGAGGGTTTGCCCACCCCCTCCGCCCCCGGCGCAGGTTCAGGTGGCTGGCCCCGTGTTGTCCCTCTCACCCGCAAGCTGCTGAGGCTGCTCCAAAGGCTTCTCCCCCGTTACGGCCAAGCAGGACAGGGTCTTGGGGGAAAGGGAAATTCTTCTATGTTTGTTTCTCGTTTTCTCTAAACCAGCATAGGATCGATAGGGGAGGTACTTGGAGGGCATTCAGGTTGGTGTGTGACCAAGGGGGGCTCTCCGCCACCACCACCACCACCAGCCCCCCCCGAGCGGCAGTGCTTTGGCCCTGGGTGTTGCGGAGAGACCAACGCGACACCAGCCCAAACTTGCAAACTCACCACACGTTTGCTGGCATTCTCTCGCCTTTTCTCAGGGCCCTCAAATACCAAGGCTGCTGCTTCCTCCTGGGCAGACGGTTGGCCGCGGTGAGCAGGGCTGCAGGTGGGAGCCATGTGCTTCCCTGCCCTGTGAAATCCTTCATGCCCACCCACCTCATCTCCTCTCTGGCTTCTCAGGCCACCAGAGTGCACCCTGAGCCGCCCCCGGGAGGGTGGGGAGCACAGTGTCCCTGACTGCAGCGCAACCCCGTTCTCTGCCTTCCTTCAGGGGCAGCTAATGGTGAGAACAAGGGGACTGGCTCTCACCCCACGTTCCCTGGCTGCAGCCCCTGCCCTCAAGTTCTTGGTCAAGGCTCAGGCCTGACCTCAGGCCCTTTACTTCAACTTCACCTCGGCCCTCCCCCGGTCTCTAACCTCCATCTGGATCAGGTCTCGGAGCTGTAGCGGTCCCCCTTCATTATTTCTCTTGGCATCAGTGTAGCCCCCGTAGGTCACAGGATGCCTCTGCCTTTTGGGCAAGGCAGGCAGCCTGGGAGGGCTAGCCCTTATCCTGCAGGACTTCGGCCTACCCTTGCTTGGTGGCAGGGCCTCCTTCCCAGGCTCGCGATGGCCAGCTCATTAGCCCCAAGTGCCTGTCTCTCTCTCTTGTCCCCCACTTTGTCCACCCCGCGTGCCCAGCCAGCCAGGTGGACGTCAGCCCCAGGTGAGCGCCGGCTCGGCCCACAGCCAGCGGACTAGCCTCAGTTGGACCCAGGGAGCTCCCATCCACGTCTCAGCCCCCGCCCCGTTCCCGCTGTGGGTCAGCCTGCTGCCTCTCTTTCCCCCCTTCATCCTTCGCGCCTGTAGGTGCGGCCTGGCGGCAGCCCTGTGCCACCCCATCTCAGCGCCACCACGTTCGTAAGGCCTGTGCAAGTTTTAGGAGTTCCAAACCTTGAAATAGTCACTCTCTTCTCCTTGGATCTGTGAAACAGTTAGCCCGCAGCGGGGAGGTTCTGGGCCTGAGACCTGGGGCTCTTGAGCTCAGTATCTTCCCAGCGAGAGGACTCGGCAAGACAGATCATAGTGCCTTATTCCACTGCCCTCCCTTGACCAGACGTGCTGGCTCCGCTGGAAGTCCGTGGCGTCCTTCTCCCTACGTCTGCCTGTCACTTAACCTCTCACTCCCGCCCACAGAGAGCCAGGAGGGAAGCCAGGCCCGGGGCTCCCGCCACCACCGGGACACTAAGCGCAGCTATAGCCGGGGACAGAACAAGCATGTTTCCACCAGGTGGATGCTCGCTCTCTGCCTCTCAATACCCAGCAGACCCCCTGCCTCTTACCTCTAGCCAGGAGGATGCCGCAGTCTGTCCATTCAGGGCTGGCTCCGTCTGACCCCTTTCTGGGCGCCGGGGACGAAAGGCGCAGGCCTTAGCCCCCTCTCCTCCCAGAAGCATTGGGAGAGGAGCGTGGGACTGCTTTCCTCCCACGCAGACGTGGTTCGCCCCCGACCGGCTGCCTTTCTGAGGGAGTGTGTTCAATGTTTACTTAAGAGATACCCTGTTTACAGCTGGAGGAGAAACGAGCCCAACACTGGCAGAGATCTGACTCCTGATGGGGCCTGGCCTCCTTTCGGGCACTGCCAGTGCGGGGGGGGGGGGGGTCCCAGAGCGAATGAAGGCTGAGCCCGCAGGGGCGCACGCCCCGCACCCCCTCTGCTCCCTGACCCCGCGGTGCTAAGACCACTCACCACCTTCCTCGCAGCCTTCTTGCCCCTGGACATTCCCCGCCTCCACCATTCCCTTCCTCCCAGGTTCTCTGCTCCTTGACATATCAGCTGTCTCCTAGAAAACCAGTGTTTGGAGCAATAAGATTATTTTTGCCTGAGTCCTTTTTCTGAGGAAAGGTAAAGAGCCGGCATTGTAGGAGTGTTCTGTCTATGTTGTTGCAGTTCACCTTTGCAGAAGACAGATCTTTGTGGGACGGCTGTCTGGGTTTCAGCCTCAGAGTATCTTTTGGAAACTTGGAACAGCAGGAGTTGGGCCTCCACCCGCCCAAGAAGGGGACCCCTAACTCTCTGCCCTCACCTTGCTCCATGCTGCCTGGGCTCCTGGCTCCGCCCACCCAAGTGTGCCTGTCCCTTCCGATCCCCCTTGTGCTCCGCTCCCCTGTACACACCCATCTGGGGGGACCGGTGGCTCCTGGGTTATCGCTCCCCCCTGACTCCCTTCCCCTCCCTTGGCCTGCGTGGTGGCCCCCAGACCACAGCGCTCCTGGAGTCACCTAGGAACTGGCAGCCTGACAACAGCCAAGCCTGGGGCTGAGGCCCAGAGATGGCACCTTGGCCGGCCTCCGGGACGCCAGGCCCGGCTCTGACCCTGCCTGCCCGGCTCGGAGGGCAGGGCCTCCTGTGCAAGAGAGATGCCCTCAGAGGGGAAGCGAGGAGGCGGGGCCGGAGGCCTGGCGAATGTACGCTTCCAAGGCCACCCTCGAGAGGTGAAGCCACTCCCACTGGTTGCCTGGAGGCGCCCACATCTTTTGCCAGGAGGGGCCACACAAAAGGAAGGGAGTTTGTTCAGGAACATTGTAAAGAACTCTGTGTGCCCCAGGGGTCCTCCTTCATCACAGCCGGGGAGTATGACGCCACAATTTAACATGCAGGTGGGGACGACTTGGGTGTGAGGGAGGCACCGAGTAACCCAGGCACAAAGTTAGCTTCAGATACTAGTTAATAAATCTATTTTTCTTTATTTTCTTTTTTTTGCACAGAAGCTGGTAATCTAGGACCTACGTGTGAACAACTTTATATGAATATTTTTTGTACTTGGTTTACTTGGGTTGGTATGATACATTATATTTAAGTTCCTTGAACACTGTGGATCCCCCTAATGTGTATGAATGACTGAGGCTTTGTAAATTAAGGGACGTTTGTGTGAATAAAGTTATTTGATGGGGTCAAAGAAGCCATACGTGATTTGAAAACGAGTGCTTCGTGGTTTTGTTGACACCCGTTTGGGGGAGGGAGGAGCCAGGCGGTGCCACAGGTCCCAGGTCCCGGTGGGTGAACTGCCTGGTGGCCTTCGACCAGCCTTCCAGCCCCAGCCCCACCCGGGGAGCAGGCCCCTCAGGAGGAGGAACCTGCCCGCCCTTGGGGCACGGGAATCCACACCTAGCCCGGCCAGCCCATCGCAGGGGTTTCAGGGGCTGCAACCAGGCCCTCAGAGGCCCTCCCAGGCCCAGCTCTGCTTCTGCAAGTTCTGCCCTCGGGAGTTTTAACAGAGAGATAAAAGAGAGGTCTCCAAACCACAGCGGCAGGGGGAAGGGGACAGGGATGTCCCAGGGGGCCGGTGGGCTCTGAGCTGAGGGGCTGACACCCATGCCCCGAGAGCAGAGACTGAGCCGGGCCGCGGTGGTGGGCCTGGCCAACAGCAGCCTTCCACGTTCCATGGGCAGTGAGCACTTACTACAAGCCAGGTGCTACTGGCCCTCATGGTAGGTACGGTGTGTGCCTCTCTACTGAGGGGTGAGAAAACTAGGGCCCGGAGTCCTGCAGGGTGCTGGGTGGGTGCTCGGTGCACCAGGAAGAATAAGAACTTCTGCCACTTGTCGCCGGGTACGGGGGCTCGCTGCGCATCCCTTTCCTCAAGCAAAATGGCAGTGGTTGAGGCTAAATAGAAACCTCGTGTTGGGCCCAGCACTTAGAAGGCCTTCAACCAAGGCTCCTATAGTTCCCTTTTCCCAGAGAGCCAGGTTTGGGATGATCCCGGCATCTGCGGGCCACTGAGCCTGGACTCCCGGGCCTGCACAGCCTCGGGAAAGCTGCTCACTCTGGAAGGGCCGGTGTTTTACCGGAGGACCACGGCTCAGGCTTCTCAGAATCGGACCTTGTAGACCCAGGAATCCTAAAACTGCTGGAGGCTGAGTCAGGCCGCTGGAATGTGTGCCGGAGGAACAGATAAGTCCGCCTTCCTGCCCGATCTGAGAGTGAGCACGCCGCATTCCAGGCCCAGGCTTTGGTGTCTGGGGACAAGGCTTCTTGCAAAGGATCCTTCTGTGCTTAGCCTGGGGCTTGGGGAAGGACGACCCACAAGTTCGCTTTAATGACTTGGCTGAGATCATTCACCCTTTTGAAGTGTGTACAAGTCAGTGTTTTGTTTTTTTTTCATACGTTCAGAGTTGTGCAACCATCACACCATCCAATTCCAGAACATTCTTATCGCCTCAGAAAAGAAATCACACCCGTTAGCAATCACTTATCCCCTCCCCAACGCGCGCTCCCAGCCCGAGGCAAAGGCTAATCTACCTTTTGTTGATGGATCTGCCTATTCTGGGCATTCCGTGTAAATGGAATCACACACTCTGTGGCCTTCGGTGTCTGGCTCCTGTCACTGCACAGTGTTTTCAAGGCCCATCCATGTCCTCACGTGTGTCAAGAGCTTTGTCCCCGTTGATTGTTGAATTGTATTCCATTGTGTGGAAACACCGCGTCCCCTGCATCTGTTCACAGTCAGTGGACACTGTTTTCCATTTGGGGGCTCTTAGAAGGAACGCCGCTGTGAACATTTGGGTGCGAGTTTCTGCACAGACCTCTATCTCTGATCCCCTGGAACATGACGTATCTCGCAGAATTGCTGGGTCATATGGGAACTGGACAGTCATTGAGGAACCGCCAAATTGTTTTCCAAAGACGCTGCGCCATGTTCCGTTGCCACCAACGAGGTGCAAGCGTTCTCCTTTCTCCACGTCCTTGCCGACACTTGCTACTGTCTTTTTTATTGTCATCACAGTGGGGCTCATAGACGTCGACACCATCGTACTACTTACTAATGGCAGATGAGGGGAGAAGAGCAAACAGGTACTTGAGACCCAAGAAGCAGCCACAGATCCAGCAAGTAGTAGGTACCTCGCAGAGTCCAAAGAATGCAGACTGACTCTGCTTCGTACTGGCTCCCTGGACCTTGAGGCAGATTGCCTCGCTGACTTCATTTTCTCATCTATAAAATAGGGTGGTTGTCAGGACTAAAGGTTTGTGGTGCAGACGACATGGTGGGCACTCCTCAGGGCCTTTCCTGGCCCCTGTGTCCTAGGGCACCCAGGCACCAGGACAGGACTCAGAAATGAGGCTCTAGGGGGGCTCCCAGTGTGTTGGGTTTGGCGTGGGTGATGAGGGACAGGTCACCGTAACACGGGGTCTACTGAGGGCCACACCACACTGAGCAGGGAGGCCCCGGGAGGGAGGGATCTAGGCGTCCGCTCGTCCATCCGAGCTGCCTGGCCTGGGCCCTGGGCCCCCTCCGGCCCTGCTGGGGCCCCAGAGCCTGCAGCGCCCGGACAGACAGCCTGCAGCGGGCGCAGCACCCTCTCTTGCCTGTTGCTGGCCTCTCCACTTGAAACATGGCAGCGCCTCCCTGGTTTCTGGGAGGTGTTTGCCTCAGCACGTCCCACATCCTGAGGAGGCAAAGGAGGGTCGATGGCGTTTGAGTCCTAGCCCTCAATCCAGCCCCACACCACAGAGCAGGCCAAGGTGCAAGACCATCTGTAGGTCTCCATTGCACGTGGACTATGGCCCAGACCCTCTCCTTGGCCTGTAGAAGGCGCTTCTCCTCCTTCCCCCTCTCCCCATGCTTACTCCTCAGACCTGCTTGCTACCCAGAGCCCCCAGGCTCTACCCTCTGGCCCGCTGTCCCTTTTTTATTCAGTCAGTCAGTCAGTCACTCATTTTTTTTTTTTTTTTTTGAGAAAGTGAGTGAGGGAGGGGCAGAGGGAGAGGGAGAGAATCTCAAGCAGACTCCCCTCGGGTGTCGAGCCCGACACAGAGCTTGAAATCACGACCCCAAGATCATGACCTGAGCCAAAATCAAGAGTCAGACACTTCCACCTGAGCCCCCCAGGTGCCCCTATTACTGTCCCTGAAGCACACACAACATTTCCATCTTGGGGCCTTTGCATTTCCATCTCTGGCCTCTGCCCAGAGCACATGACTTCTTGCTTCATCTAGGTCTCTGCTCACACACCCAAGAGATCTTCCCTGGTCCCCTTAAAGAAACCTCATCACCATCACTATCTCTTTAACATGCTTTATTCTTCTTTTTAGCACAATCACTGGCAGGAAGTTTTCTGTATAACATACAAATACACAATACGTGTAAAAGTGTGTGTATATATGTAAATAATCTCTCCTCTCCTTAAACTGTGCCTGACATGGCCCAGAGTAGACATTCGATGCATATTTAGTAAGTAGATAAATGAGAGCAGGTTACATCAGTAAGAACACAACCCTCGTGGAAGGAACTCGCTCAGGAGCCCACGGGGCGGGGGTGGGGGGAGCCTATGCAGTGTCTGTGTGCGGGGCCTATGGTGGACAGCATGGCCCATAACTGATGAGTCCGGCTTGGGGATGTGTCCCCGTGTCACGTGTCGGACCCATAGAGGTGATGTTGGTGATGGGGCAAGAACCAGGCCCAGAATTTCTGCCTTATCTCCAGCTGGTCTCTTGGCCACAGCTCTGGGTGTGTGGGAAGGACGTGCAGGGTAGGGAGATGGACATCACTCACCATCTGACGTATGTTCATGAACCTAGAAGCCCCAAAGTATGAAAACCTAGTGGGAACAAGAATTAAGAAACCTGGATCCAGATCCGGCTGGTCTCCTGCCGGCTGTGTGGGATGTGGCAAAATCTCTCCGCTCTGGACCTCATGGTGTGGTGGATTCTGGAATCAGGAGGGTTGGATGACTGCTTTACCACGTACAGTCCCATGACCTTGGCATGTTACCCTCTGAGCCTGCCTTCTTACAATACCAGTACCCACTTCATAGATTTTTCTGAGAATTCATGAGACAGTGCATGTGCCATCCATAGCACAGTGCCTGACGTGAAATAAATTATCCATAAACGGTATCTAGTGGTAATATTTTTTAAAGGGAAAAAGACCTCCTTTAAGAATCTTTCTCCAGAAAAAAGCGCTCGGACTGTTAAGGAATGTTGTGTGTCTCATTCCCGCCCCCCATGTCCCGGTGCACGCTAAAGGTCCTGAGAAGGCCTGTATGAGCCCAGTTTCTCAAGCTTCTGGGATCACTGATGCTTCCACATGGAACACCTGTTAACATCTCCTGACAGTGGGGTTCTGGGGAAACGCTTTGGGGCCTGCTTCAGAAGCTAACCAAGACCATCTTTGCAGCTCCCAGATCCTAACTCCCCGTCAGGGGACTGTAGCCACCCCATCCTGTTTTACATGGGGCTGGAATGACTTCCCTCTTGCAAAAGCCTCCAATAATTGCCTCCGCTTGGTCTGCTGGTTCCTTGAGGGCAGATCAGAATATGAGGAATTTAATAACTGCGGTCTGGATCCCCTGCCAAAATGCTGTAGGGCCCTGGCCTAGACTCGAATGTGGTGAGAACACAGAGCAGCTCCCCCAGCCAGCAGACCAGGCCACTGCCAAAACCCTCACACTCCCGGTGCCCTTCTGGCAGAGTGCCGCCACTCTGCCGCGAGCCCTGACCCAGCACACCGAGCACTTAGCCTTCTGCTGGGGGACACCCGCTGTTTGGTAGGTACGCACGCAGACCCTACTGCCAGACCTCTGGGGTTCAAGTTGCTCTACCTCTTTAGGACTCAGCTTCCTCAAATGAAAAATGGGCATCAAATCCACACCCATGTCGGTGAGGATTTGGCACGGCCTGATCGGGAGACCCCAAATAGCAGCAGCGGAAGCAAGAGAGAAGCTGGAGCTCTCTCCCATAAAAGAAGTGTGAGGGGGCACCTGGGTGGCTCAGTTGGTTAAGCGTCTGCCTTCTGCTCAGGTCATGATCTCGGGGTCATGGGATCGAGCCCCTTCTCAGGCTCTCCGCTCAGTGGGGAGTCTGCTTCTCCCTCTCCCTCTTCCTGCCGCTCCGCCTGCTCATGCACTCCCTCTCTCTCTCAAATAAATAAATAAATTCTTAATTTAAAAAAAAAGGAAGTGTGAGGCTATCAATCCAGGGC